CTGACCTAAAAAGCTACAGTTGTACAGAAGTGAAGTACCTGGTAAGAAATTATCACGGTCTGTACCTGCATTCACACGTAGATTTTTGGCTCTGTCCACAAGCTCTGGCAGCCATTTCTGAGCTTCTCCCACTAGAATTGCTGTAGACAGGGCCATGCAGCGTTGGCCAGCTGCTCCAAAAGCAGCTCCAACCAGCTGGTTCAAGGTGTTCTCTTTATTGGCATCAGGCATCACCACACCATGGTTCTTGGCTCCCTGAAACACGACATATACACAGTCTCCCATCATTAACCACCCCAGACCACTGCTTCTCTAGCTTCTGGCAACATCTTCATAGTAGCTACAACTCTGCTACCAACAGGCTGGCAAGACGGGCAGCCTCATCACTTAACTATCAGTAGCAAAGTCAGCTTCTGCTGCTGCGTGGCGTGGTCTCTCTTAACATTTGCAGGAGACAGAGGCAGTCTATGTGCTGAAGTGAGCTCCATTCAGAGGCATTACCATGTTGGCCTGGACTCTCTTGCCATTCCGGGATCCTCTCTCATAGATGTACTCGCCAGCTTGATTAGATCCCACAAAGCTGATTGCTCTGATATCCGGATGGTCACAAATGAAATTCACAGCTTCAAATAGGAAATAATACATTATATACTGTGGTGCACAAATGCTTCCCCCTGTCCCCGTCCCCACAGTGCTAAACCTACATATCTTTCTTCCTGTTGAAATTCCTGCCTCTGTGTTTCCTACATTTGAATTTCCCTGCTGTCTCTCCATGCACGTCTCCACTAATTTCTCAGCATGTATACACCTGCCCCTGTGCTCACACACCTGGCCCTCTGCCATCTCTTCACACTCTGGGCATCTCCCAAGGTGCCTGAGCGATGGTGAAGTTACTGTTGTCTGTTTGTAGCCTCATGTTCTGATGGTACTTGTGTGCTGTGGAAAACATCACATTAGGAGCTAAAATACTGGCATCCACTGACATTCAGTGAGGCATTTAATTCTTGCTTAGGCTTCCCTGTGAAATCAAGATGATTTATCTACTTATTTCAGTTGGAGCTTAGGTTGCTAAATAGAATTTGAGCACTTACGTGCCTTGGGAACTCTGACCCCAGCCCCCAAAATTTTGTCAACCATATGTCCTGAAAGATTTGGTTCAAGATGGCAGAAAATCTCCCAGTCGCCTCCATCAAGAGGGCTGACGCATCTGTCCAAACCTATCTAACAGCAGTAGGATCAGACTCTCCATCTTACTTAGTACTTCCACTGAATATACACCACAACAGAGACACTCCAGCCATCTCCCAAGGTCCATTATTACCTTCATGCTGTCCATGGATGATATTCAGGGTCCCATCGGGGGCACCAGCGTCCTGAAACAGCTTGGCAAGGAACATGAGTGCTCCTGGTACACGCTCAGAGGGTTTCATCAAGAAGGTGTTTCCACAAACCATAGCCATGGGGAACATCCAAAGAGGAATCATGGCTGGGAAATTGAAGGGTGCAATCCCAGCACACACACCGAGAGGCAGACGGTAGGTGTAAGTGTCCATGTCTTTAGTGATGGAGGGCATGGTCTCTCCCAGTATGAGGGATGTCACGCTGCAAGCATGTTCAACCACCTCTGCAGCAGAAAGCGCAATAGGCCACTGGATGATCTGTTAATAATCAGCCCCCAAACTCCCTTCTCACCACTGCCTTGACCCAAGTCTTTCTTCCAGCCTCTTTTCCCACAACTTAAAACTCATTGTGCTCCAGAAAACACCTTTGCTCTGCCAAGCACTGTGAGCTCATTGTGAAAAGATTCTCTCTTGCGTGTATTTTATGTCATTGTGATGGGAGCACAGACACAACAGCCCCAGTAACAGAGCACAGGTGCAGTATTAGTGTACCACCTGGGACTCAAACTTAGACATCTGAGCAGAAGTGAGAAGTTCTTACCCCTTTACAGCAATCTGTAGTCACTCCTAGCAAAAGGAAGGATCTAACAACTTGGAAGTGACTTAGGGTAACTCAATCTAAGGGAACTTTTCAGGTTAGAGTTATAATTGCCCCTTTTCTTTTAGAAGAAGGAAAAGTCTGTGAAGGCAGCTACACGTACAGACTCCCAGAGCAATCAGTTGCTCAGGAGACCTCCGCCCTTCCTATAGGTTCTCAAAGCCCCTTTTTTAATAGGAGGAGCCAGCAGCTTACGGAGGCCTCGGAACACATCTCCCTCAGCATCAGCCAGGGTCTTCCCTTGTTCAAAGGTGATGAGTTTTGAAATTTCTTTCTGAAAACAGAAAACATGAAGTTTATGAATGTTAGAAAAGCGCCTGCCTGTGAAACAGGGTGCAGAGATGAGAGGGTTTAACTGGGAGTTGAAAATCACAATGAAGACTGAGTAGAACCTGGGAAGCCTACACTGATTGATTTGCTCCTTGTAGATAAGAAGCCAATAAGGCACACAGGTGACATTTTAGAAAAAGCAGCTGTGGGCTGGCTTATATTCTACAGTTTTCATGTGTCACACCACAGACACACAAAAAAAGCAATCTGGAGAATCCAAAGTCATAGTAGCATTCTTGACCCACTTGACTTTGTCAATTGGCACTTTCTGCATCAAGGCTGAAAGTTCCTCTCGTGGCTTATTGGTAAAGAAACAAATGCAGAATAATATTCCCTAAGCAGCACTGCCTCTCTGTCCCCATTTGCTTGGAGAGTACTTTGCTGCACTTCTCTACGACAGCATCTCACTTGTCTCCTCAATCATAGCGACAATGCCTCATCGAGAATACAGTAAACCCTGAGTCTCTCAGTTTAATTCCTAAAGTCAACTGCAATGCATTCAGCAATAGCTATCACCCGCAGTCGTGACGTCTCACCAGATTGTCTTTGATGAGTTGCTGATAACGCAGGAAGATTTGCTGGCGACTCAAAACAGATGTTTCTGACCAGTTCCAAAAAGCCTTTTTGCAAGAAGCCACAGCTGCTTCCATCTCACTGGCTGCGGCTTTTTGTACACCGCCACCCACTTCAAGCTGCTTCCATCTCACTGGCTGTGGCTTTTGGTACACGGCCGACCACTTCATTTGTGGCCTGAAGGAGAAAACAAACTGCATCAAAACTCACTTTTTCCAGCTGTCCCTGCCAACCATTCACTGGTCCATTCACACCACACACCTAATGTCCTTGCTCTGCAAGGAGCTGTACTTGTGAGGGGAGAGCACAAAAGAGACTCCTTCCTTGGTGCACACAAAAGGCCTGGGCTACAGCTGGAATAGCACTGAAAACCTGCACTCCACACATCTCAAATTAGGCACCCAGAAAGCTGCAAATGCAGTGCTGATGGAGCTGAAGTGACTTGTCTACCCTGCAAGTTCTAGAGAGTATAAGGCAAAGATTTCTGTGGACTGTGGTCTTTTGCCTCTGCATCATCTTGACTCATCTGCTGTCCCTCTTGCACATTAAATGAGGCAAGGTTCCTTTGAAAAAAGCAGAACATGACTGTGCAGTTGGCACTGATGTTAGTTTACCTAGACCACTGGGCCAAAGTGAGATTTTTATGAGCAACCTTATTTCTACAGTATTTTAATTTTAAAAGCTTGTCTTTGCCAGTTAAACCTCCTTCTAATGCTCTCTTAAAAATTAAGTCTGCTTTGACATGACAAAAACACCAGGTACATCACTAAGAGAGAAACTACTCAAGAGAAACAAAATCAAACAAGAACATCGGTCGCCACATAGAGACCAAATGAGCTTCATGAACACGGCTTGCTGCTCTGATCACTTCCACAAAGCAAATCAAAATGGGGCTTTATAGTGAAAAGTTTTAGAAACCGCTGTCCAAATGCTTATTGGAGGGGTCAAAAGGGTCAGAGTTCTGCGTGCAACCTCATTTCCACTTGTCTTTGGTGGAGGACTCAGACAAGCACAAGTGCTACAACTCTAAGATTATTTTGCACTGCATAGCATCCAGCCTCTAGATTCACTGTGAATATTGTGGCTCACAGATAGAAGCTCCTGAAAAGCGAGGAGCTTCAGCTGTCAGAATTTTTTATCTTGGTCTGAGAGTGAAGTCAGACTCTATCAGGACTTCACATTCAGCTGGCATCAAATCACACCCAGCTGATTTCACATACAGGGTGAAAGAAACCGTTCAGAAATTTGACGTACTGATCACAGAGCCCTTCTACGAGCAAAAAAATGTAAGCAGGGTTTAAGCTTCCTTTGTGGAGATCAGAGTTTTACTACACAGGGGAGATAAAGGAGGTCATCGCTTTCCTAAGACTGACATTTCATGTGAAAAGGAAACTGAGAAACTGTGTTAAATCGACCTTAAGCTCCAAGTCTAAGCCTTTCTCAAGAAATGTATGTACTTTTCCCTTTTGCCAAGTGCTTGAACAGAGGCAGACTCTTGTTGCACATGATTGCTAATATATAAGCTGAGGCCGTTTCACTTACTGGGTTGTGGATATCAATCCATTCAGTAGTTTTGGACTCAACAAACTTCCCATCAATGAAGAGTTTCGTTGTCGGCTGTGGAGAACAAAACACTGGCCAGTGAGCGATCTTTGTCTCAAGGTGCCCAAATACGAGTGTGCTTTATTACAGGCAAGCCTTCGTCGTTTACTGCTATGCTGCCCATTAGAGAGCCTAGATCCAGTATTCACAGCAAGAGCCAGCTAACTGCTTAGGCTGAAATTTTTCATGCTCTTTGCCCCATTTTTCTCTTACTTTACACCAAAATGGCCAAAATTCTTTCTAAAAACAGTTATAGAAAAATACATTACTATGCTTATGTTCAGAAAGATATCAAGCTACTTAATTGCTCAATGTATGCTAAATTAGAAAACTGAAAAACTGCAACTCATAAAAGTTCAAAAGAAACAGTTAATAATTCACTTGTGAGAATTCCACGTACCCAGTGCACACTGTACTATGTGTTTCCTTCCCATCAAGCCACTACTTTGGTTCATCTCTCCAGCTCATAGCTACAAGCATAAAATTGGACTGTCTCCATGCCTGCAACTAAGAGCAAGGAACCTACATCTGCTGAGTTCACAGTGATTGCCCTGGCAGGTAGCATGGAGAACAGAACATTCCAACTCAGATGCAGAGGAGAAAAAAGGGAAGATTGGAATAAGGAGGTAAACGTAGGACCAAAGGAAAAGCAGTGGCAGAAGCTGTAACTAGCACTGGAGAACCAACAAAACTGTAGCACTCGGGAAAAGAGATTTGGACTGCATAAATAAAGAGACTGGAAACTAGCAGTTGATATTGGGAGGTAGGGAGAGAATTAGGAGAAAGCAAGAACTAGTTAATCATGCAATGATAGAGTGGCTTGGGGAGAACAGATAAGAGGAAGGGGAAACGGATCTGCCATGTGAAGAACAGAAATGGGACACAAGAGATGAAAAGAACTGGGCCATAAAAAAAAAGTATCAAGGAGCAGTGTGAAGAAATTAAGAAGTGGAATTAGGAGAGGGAGACGAGGATTGAGATGCTATCCAAGGTGTAATGAAGGGAGAGAGATCAGAGGAAGAAAAAGCAAAACAAAAGTGGATGGCTGGACAAGTGATGACAGCAAAAAACTGAACAGCAATGAGAACTGAGACAAACAGAGAAGGCAGGACTAGGATGAGAAGCGTAAGACTGTTAACAGACAAGCAAGACCTGTTGATTTGGGAGGTAACACCAGGAGTGGGTTAAAAAAAAAAGTTGCAGATGATTACGTAGCTGGAATTACACTTGGGAAAGAGAGGCAGAAGTCTGTGCCTACAAAAACACCATACCCTGTAGAACCTGGAAGAAGTGCAGGTATCACAGAATCACAGAATGGTAGGGGTTGGAAGGGACCTCTGGGGATCATCTAGTCCAACCCCCCTGCCGAAGCAGGGTCACCTAGAGCAGGCTGCACAGGACCTTGTCCAGGTGGGTCTTGAATATCTCCAGAGAAGGAGACTCCACAACCTCTCTGGGCAGCCTGTTCCAGTGCTCCGTCACCCTCAAGGGTGAAGAAGTTCTTCCTCATGTTCAGACGGAACTTCCTGTGCTTCAGTTTGTGCCCATTGCCCCTTGTCCTGTCGCTGGGCACTACTGAAGAATCTGGCCCCATCCTCCTGACACCCACCCTTAGGATATTTATAAGCATTTGTAAGATCCCCTCTCAGCCTTCTCCAGGTTAAACAAGCCCAGCTCCCTCAGCCTAACAAAGTCCTTGGTTTCCTGACTGTCAGAATACATATTCTAGTGCTGGTCTAAAGAATGACAAACTCCTACTGCTATCAGCCACTCCATAGCCCAAGTGCCACGTATCTGCTGTGGACCTACACGCTCCAGAGCTTTATGGTCCACGTGGATTTCAGTGCAATGGAATTTATGTTTTTTTCAAATTGTTTAAAAGGGATATCTAGAAAATCACACATAGAAAGAAAAAATATTTTAAGCAAGCCAGGAAGCGCTGAACTAAGATTGACTATACTTTTTCCATAAGATCACCACGTTTTTTCTGTGGAGAATGAACCCGCTGTGGCAACAAGGACTGCAGTGAAGCAGACTATCTGGAGAATTGTGATTTAGCTGTTCAGAACTTGGAGAGAGTACAGCCATGGATACCAGAGGAAAAAAGGCACCGTAACAGTTAAAGTTGTTTGATCTTGCCCAAAGGAAATTAGATCCTCTCTCTGCCACAAACAGATGGTACAAGGCCAGTCCACACAGCCCGAAACCATCTTTTTTCACGCATTATCATTAGTCACGCATTCGATATTCATTTTTGCTGATCTTATTGAAGAGCTATTACACACGGTAAAAGACATCTAAAAATTGGGAAAAGGAAAGTGGCTGGTACGTATTCAGCACAACGCGTGCTGCTTAAGGAGCACGGAGAAAATCAACCAGGACGTGATTAACGGAACTAATGGTGCACGGCCCTGCTGAGCCAGGCAGGCCTGGCCGCACGCACCGATGCGGGGGGGCTCAGCGATGCGGGGGGCTCCCGGCGCGGCTCCGAGCTCCGGAGTCCAACAAACCCGACACTGAACTTTTTTCCCTTCCGTCCCGCTGAGCACGGGCAGGCCCAAACGTTCGCTCCAGGAACACCGTCCCGGAGCCACAGCGAGGGGAGCCGAGCCGAGGGGAGCTGAGCTGAGCTGGCAGAGACGGCCTTACAGGAGAAGGCCCGAGGGAAGCCTTCCCCGGCTGCGGTGGGCAGCGGCGGCGCCCGGGGCTCTCCCGCGCCCTCCCGCCC